GAGCAAAAATTTCAATGCATGCGAACTACATCAAACATGTATTTAATTATGCATTAAGCTATGTCTATATACACCTTTCAGTGGAAGAAAATTCTGGATAGAAAAATATTTGACTGATTAAATATTTATTTTCTTCACTAAAAACTTTTCATATCTTATTTCATGTTCTTCCATTTCGAATGACATGTCATTTTTTTAAAAATGAAAGCAAGTTCTTTACATTCGACATTGTCAGTGAGATAAACAGGTAAAGAATTATTCAATATAAATTTCATTATTGAACTGTCTCAAGCAGGTACCAATATTGAAAGTTATCAACTTACAATGTCTCTTATTCAGTGTCACTATGATTACGCATGCTCTGTTTGGTATAATAGCTTGACACAGTCTTTAAAAAATAAGTAACAAACTTGTCAAAACAAAATAATGAGATTTGTACTTGACTTGGACTCTAGAGCCCACATTGACCCATCCCACTTTAAGTCCCTTAACTGGTTACCGGTCCACAAAAGAGTTGAACAGATAATGTTGTGTCATGTTTTTAAGATAAAAAATGGCCTATCTCCGGATTACATGTCTGAACACTTTATTTCACAAGATTCCATTCATAATTATAGTACAAGACTAAGTCAAAAGGGTGGATATTGTCTACCTAAGGTCAAAGGCCAGGGTTCTAAATCATTTGCTTTCTCTGGTATTAAATTATGGAATGATTTACCTGTAAAGTTAACGGAGATCAACAGGTTACAAAGTTTTAAGGTTGCCATCAAAAGTCATCTTATGAACAGTATTTAAATTTTTTTTAAACATGTTTTTTATATATTTCGGCTCAGGATTTTAAATTGTCTGCCATTTATCTTATTACAATTTTAGTAATGTGTTTTAAATCCTAGCTGTAAACAGGAGTATCATTAACTCAAGATTTGACTGTGATATACATTTTTATGATTTATTAGTATTTTTAAACATGATCATATTAAGGTTTGCCTCTCTATGTCATGCCGCCAATACAAAGGACCACAATGGAAATAAGAGCTTTATTGTCCTTTTTTGTGTTATCCTTGGTTTTGGTGAGCATGTCATAGTTTTACTCGTATGTGATATAGTATTTAATAATGCTCATTATTTTATCCTATGTTATATTGTCAACTATGTATATGCTTCCTTTGCCGAAATTTAAAAAAAAGAAAAAAAAATGTTCAGGGTCTTCCGAAGTGTTTCTAGAGTATTGTAAAAACAGTGCATACTCACATTCTGTTTTCTTTCTTGCATATGCACTCAGCCCTTGCTATTCTTACCTGACACTATATACAACCAATGTTATTCAATATGTGTTTACTTTCCGTAAAGAAAGTAACAAAGCCTTCATAAGATCAGCTCCAAATGGTGCGTTTTCCCAAGAGCAAATTTGGAGTCACAGTTTTTTACAATTTCTATGCAAAAACTTTCTTCAGCATATTTGATCTTCCTATATAACAAATTTGGAGTATTCAGGTTTTGACAATCTATGCAAAATTTGCTTCTACATATTCCTTCTTGTATGACAAATTTGGAGTACTCGCGGGTTTTGACATTTTTATGCAAAACTTGCTCCAATATATTCCATCTTATATAACAAATTTGGAGAATTCAGGTTTGGATATTTATTGCAAAAATTGCTCTAGCATATTCACTTTTATATAGATAACTAATTTGTAATGCACGGTTTTGACATTTTATGCAAAACTAGCTCCAGCATATTCCCTCTTATATAACAAATGTAGAGTACAAAGTTCTTGACATTTCTATGCAAAAACTAGCTCCAGCATCTTCCCTCTTATATAACATATGTGGAGTACAAAGTTTTTGACATTTCTATGCAAAACTAGCTCCAGCATATTCCCTCTTATATAACAAATTTGGAATACATAGTTATTGACATTTCTATGCAAAACTAGCTCCAGCATATTCCCTCTTATATAACAAATTTGGAGTACACAGTTCTTGACATTTCTATGCAAAACTAGCTCCAGCATATTCCATCTTATATAATAAATTTGGAGTACACAGTTCTTGACATTCTTATGCAAAACTAGCTCCAAAATATTCCCTCTTATGTAACAAATTTGGAGTACACAGTTCTTGACATTTCACAGTTCTTGACATTTTTATGCAAAACTAGCTCCAAATATTCCCTCTTATGTAACAAATTTGGAGTACACAACTCTTGACATTTCTAGGCAAAACTTACTCCAGAATATTCCTCTTATATAAAAACCATTTTTGTGTGCAAATAAAATCTCTTCAATACGCCCAAAACAGCAAAACTGAAATTGCTGCAGGCTTGGTTTTAATGAGCCTGTTCAAGGATGATACTGTAAAATGCAAGTTAATGTTCATCCGCCCAAAGCATGTTAAAGATATACTATACTCGTCTGAGAGTAAAATATTTTTATTGAAATCTATGTATTTCTTTCTCAATATGTCTAATTTTAATAAAAGAATGTACAAACTGTGTGTGGGAAGCTGCATATCCTATAACAGGTTAAGTAAAGTTGACCCTTTCTAATAAGAAAAAACTGTTGTTTTCTGTTGTTGTTTTTTTGTTGTTGTTGTTGTTGTTTACACTATACATTCTTATTTGCCTATGAATTGTGTATAGTTTTAGACATAAGATATCTTAAAAAATGTATATTTTATATTTAAAAAGAGACTGTGTAGCAATTATCAATATTTAAAAATACAAAATTTGAGCATATTATATCTTTAAATCAAATAATTGTTATTATAACTTATCATACAGTTACCCAACTAAACACAATTGGTATCATAGAATTATATTTTGTTAGCAAGAGCTGATATTTTCTTATATCAAGTAAGATTTAAAACAGTGAGATACTGCAGATCTTTTTCGCCAATAGAATAAGAGTCTTATTAATTATAAGCTGTGACATGTGCATTTTGTTGGCCTAAGAAACATGAATTTGGTATGTTCGCGGCTCAAGAAATTAAATTGTTAAACAGTATATTATTAATTCTATGCCTTGTTAACTTCAAGTTAAAACAATATTGTCTTTGTTGCTGTAGTAGTAGTTGTAGCATAAAACTTGGGAGGTCAATCATTTGTGTTGCAGATGGCCAAGGCTTCATACTGTTGTCCATCATTCCATGATGACGAAACAGATTTTCCTAATCTGTTGCAGAGTTAATATTGGACCTGCTGTCCGCAAACTCTAGACTTTCCAATTTCTGTTGCAGAGTTATATTGGACCTACTATCCGCAAATTCTGGGGTCGTCGCAGTACGCCTCAGTACCTACTGTACTGGTTATAGCGACTGTTGGGCTTCTTGAAAAGTGAAATTCCCTACTGGAACTGAACACTTTGCCCATTCTTGTAGCAATCCATGTGGAAAATATAAATGGATAATCAAATCAAAAGCAGAAGACAATTGTTATATCCAAAACATTGTCACTTTAAATCAAACTACAAACAAATCCGGTATTTAATCCATTTTACAAAGTTATTAGGTAATTGTATTACTCCATTTAACAAGAATAATTGAATAAATCCTAACTCTAATAATAACACATAAACTCATAAATTAAGAGAAATTAACTGCGGAAATTCAAGATATGTTGTCATAAGTTACATAGATATGTAATATACATGTATATCATATTGTACTAAGCATCTTTATAAGAAATATATTGATGTCATTTGCATTTTAACATTATTATTATACTAAAACATTTTATAGGAAAAGTGTTAGTATAATTATATCTCATACACATGTATGACTGGTACATACCAAAAAGGTATGATTGATTATTATTAATTGAGCCATGTCACGCCAAACCAACATAGTGGGTTTGTGACAAGCATGGATCCAGACCAGCCTGCGCATCCGCGCAGTCTGATCAGAATCCATGCTGTTCGCTAACCAACTCTTTTACAAGTAGACGAACTGATAGCGAACAGCATGGATCCTGATCAGACTGCGCGGATGCGCAGGCTGGTCTGGATCCATACTGGTCGCAAACGCATTATGTTGGTTTTGTCGTGACACGACTCAATTATGTTTGTTATGACACTAATTCATAGATAAATATTGGTAATCTACTTAAGTATATTATTTCATTCGGGTAGCTAAACATTTCCAGAAAAGAACATGTAAATTGTACAATCATTTTAACACCGATATGAAGTACGTGAATGTAAGACAAACATTATTTAATATTTTCATTATTCTACGTTCTGACGAATAAGTTGTTATTATGACCTTCTCCAGTAAAGTCATAATTATGTTGTGGTAATGTTTTGCACGTTAATATATGTTCTATTAGTCCCTGTACAAATTAAATGAGCCGCGTCACGACAAAACCAACATAATGGGTTTGCCACCAGCATGGCTCCAGACCAGCTTGAGCATCCGCGCAGTCTGATCAGGATCCATGCTGTTCGCTTACAGACCCTATAACAAGTAAAGAAACTGATAGCGAACAGCATGGATCCTGATCAGACTGTCTGGATTCATGCTGGTCGCAAACCAATTATGTTGGTTTTGTCGTGACGCAGCTCAAATGCATCTTCAGTAAGCATTAAAATATTTCTCGTAGAAAAAGTAGTTGTTATTGTAGTTGACTTCAAACCACTTGCCCTTCACCGCTGTGGGTTTAAATCCCGACAGGGACTTTGGATTCTTTCAAGCCAGGAAGCTATCCAGATAGTTTACGGAACATTGATGGCTCTATTCAGGTGCCAACTCGTGTCTGATATAATGCACGGACGGGCACCTGAAGCCATCCTCTACCAGTAAAGTTGGAACGTCGTCATACGACCTGTACTACGTCAGTGTGACGTGTGACGTAAAACAAAAGCAACCAAAATATTATAAAAAAAAGTGTTGAATCACGGATTTATATTACAATAAATGTAATATAAATCCGTGGTTGAATACAATAGAAAACTGTGTGTGACTTATAAAGTGTCAAAATATTTCAATTACTAAAATGTACTAAGATTCAAGTAACTTTTTATGTCCTAACTATCTTTCTACAAAAACCAAAGAAATAACAACTCTGTTATGCGTTTGCGAGAGAAATGCTTATAGAAAATACAAAGTATAGCGTGAGAGAAATTTCAAATTCAAAACCGAAAATATATAAAAACTACTATAATTTAAGAATCTTGGTAACGGACAATCTTTTTTCTAAAGAATCCTGTACGTAACCGTCCTTGGCTATATCGGTCTTCCATCGACCGTGTCTCTTAAGACATCTGTCAGACACACCTGACGCGTTTGCCACATTTGTAGCACCACTGGCTCTTAAAGAATGTGTACCAAGATCTAACTCGGGTCCAACAAGCTTTAATTTTTTAACAAGACATTCCCGAGCGCGTGTATAGCTCAACTTTTTGTCTTTTTTCACTAAATTTGAAATGTTTTTTGAACGAAAACAAGGCCGAAATAAATATTTGTCCGAATCTAAAGATATTTTTGCATGCGTTACGTAACGTTGTAAAATAGAATAAGGACAAGCTTGTGTAGTACCTTTGGCTATAACAATTTCAGATCCATTCCTATAAACATCGGTTTTGCTTTGTCTAACATTAACCAATAAGTGGTCTTCTTTAAAATGAATATCATTACAATGTAAATTGCTTGTTAATGCGCATGAACCCTGAGTATGCTAAAATAATCATAGCTAAATCTCTTAAATCAATTACGTCACTGGAAGATTCATATAACGAACACAGAGACTGAATCATTTCAGTTGTAAGAGTGTCTTTCTTATGAACTGGTTTCGAACATATACGCTTTGAAGCTTCAAGTAATTGTTTAACAATGTTATTTTCTGTCGGATCAGAATAGTCATTCAAAGAATGAACCCACTTAACACTGTAAAAAACAGATGAAATTACATTATTAGATTTTCCTTGATCCATAAGAAATGTTAAGTACATAGCAACCGATATTGGTTGTGCAGGTAACGCAGTCAGACCGTGCGTAACACAGTAATTTTCAAAATACTTGAAAGAAGAACGATATTTCTTAACGGTGTTATCTGCCCTTGACTGCGTCAAATAACTGGCCATTCTGTCCGTGATGCCTACATGAGATGATGATGGTATTCCTGCCTCGTCCATTTTCCTTTTTAACGTGTCTCTTAAACCAAGACCTGTCAAAGATAAAGATAATTATATAATGTGTTTAAGGTAAGCATCTTAAAGCTAGCATGTCAAACGATAAATAATCTTTACCGAAACAACCATTATTTCCGTCACCGGAAGTGACGCAAAATCTTCCTAAATTTTCTATTTCTTTTATAAATTTTTTGAATTTTCCATCAGCTTCAATTAACATTGGCCAAAATGGCGCACTTTCCCATTTCGGGATAATAAGCGTACATTTCGCTTGTTCGGATTGCATCTTTTTTATACAATCTGGCACCAGCCTTGGTGGAGGAACTAACCAATTTATATCATTACCCCAATACTGGGATAAAGCATCTACTGCCTCTGTCCGGGGAACCCACCATCGAGAATTAAACCTTAAACATTGGTTATTGAAATGTGATGCGAATCTGTCAATCGAATGCGTACCCCACCTTTTATCTATATTCTTAAAATATTGTATTCTAATTTTCCAATCATCTGAATCAAAACATCTACTTAGATAATCGCTTTTTTCGTTTTCCTCTCTAGGAATCCATTCAGGACACACAACGATGTTCTTTTCTTCGCAGAATGAATTTAAATCTAATGCAATATTGTGCACATGAGATTTACGACTACCGTTTAGCAAAATTGATTTGACATTTTTGTTATCAGAATACACCTTGACGTGTGAATTTTTCAAAACACTACCGTATGTTTTCATAACCCTATGTATTGCCTCTGCTTCCCGCCAGGTGGAGCTACGTTGTTTCTCAATGTCAGACCAAGAACCGATTACCTGATAATCTGATCCTATGCTAGAGAATACTGCATCATTGTTATGTTTTGAACAATTTTGCGCCGTGCGAAAAGTTAAATTGCCCTCTCTGTTGGGCACGTTTCCCACTTCCAGGGGTAAACATAAGCTTGAATCCACTTCCGGGGATATACTTCTTTTCGAAAATAGAATTTTCGAGGTTACAATATCATACCTTGTGTCTAAATGCTCAGAATGAAAATCTGCCATTGTATCATTACCAACTTCCGGTGGCTCTGAACAGTCAACATATATTTTGTTGTTTTTCTTACATATATCATGTAATGCTTCCACATTCTCAACATACCCACCATAACCGGACCCACTCGCGTCCGCGAAAACATTGAACAAATAAATGTTATCATATTTGAACGATCTTCCGTTTTTGTTCAGAATTTCTGCGTTTTTAGCCCAAAACCGTAACTCAGACAATGCGTTGTCTGTTACTACTACTGGAGCGTTCCAGCTCGCTCGTGAATTAATACAATTAAATAAATGTCTTGTTAATAAGCGCACCTTATTTCCTAAAACGCTTTGCAGAGAAATTATTTGACCAGTTATGCTGGCTAGAAACCTTACGGGTACAATATTATCTTGAGTTATCTGAATTTGAAACAGCGCAGAAGAAATAGCCTTTTCCAGCCTACGAATTCTATCGCTCGTGATATATAAATGATTTGACTTCATGTCTAACACGTGACCGAGCCACTCGATTCTTTGTACAGGGTCCCACTGACATTTTTCGTCTGCTAGAAGAAATCCGAAATCTAATAAGGATTGTTTAGTAAACGCGCTAGCAGAAACGGCTTTCTCGTATTCGTTACTTCCGCCGATACCATCATCAAGAAACATAACGATTTTATAACCGTTTCTTCTAAGGAATGTGACTATGACTCTCAATACTTTTGTAAATATATGACCGGCTGTCTTAATGCCGAAAGGGAGAGTTCTCTCCCTTTATCGAATAACTGACACCTAGGTATGTTCGATGATTTGGAAAAATATCGACATGATGATATTCACCCTTCAAATCGTATGTGAAAAGAAATGAATTGAGATCGAATAATGCTTCGGCTATCTTGATGTCTTCAAATTTCACTTTAAATTGATGTAAAAAAGGATTTATATATCTACAGTCAAGAACCAAACGGGGTTTGCCTTTTTTGTTATAAGCGACCGTCAGAGGATTCACAATGCAAGGTTTGCTATATACCTTAGACACAATGCCCTTTTCGATTAATGATTCGATTTCTTTTTCTACGAATACAGGATTGTCTCTTGCCGACTTATTATTTTTTATCTCAGAATTTTCCGGAATAGTTTTGAAAGGAAGCTTATAACCTTGTTCAATAACGTCTAAAATATACCTGCTGTCAGTTGCTTTTTTCCACATTGGCAAATGTACCTTTAATCTACCTACTGGAGAATCCGACTTATCTATACCATTATTGAGCTTGTATACAGTACCTGTATCCATTTTAATCGTATCCGCCTCGGATTTTGGCAAACATTTTAAAACATTTAAAAAACTTATCTTGTTATTGGAAACTGCGCCTGAACATTCTGGCGAGCCTTTCCAGTGCCCCGGTTTCCCACAAGTGAAACATAACCCTGGTCTGCCCGGTGTCGACTGTGCTACTGACGTTGCCGTTGACATCTGGGAATGACCCGTAAAAGTGCTGCTTGGCTTCCGGTAAGGAGCCGTGTGTGCGCTACGTGACTTCTTTTGCTTTTCAGCTTTAAGTTTTCTGCTCGCCCGTGTTTCAGCCTTTTACATTCTACGCTCGTCGTCTGAATCGTCGGCAAGTGGATTAGCTTCGTACTCTGTAACGAGTCTCCAACCTAGGTCTGAAGAATCAGCCAAGCGTATCAACTTTTGCCTATGAGCCACCAAGGCTTGCGCTTCTGCAATTTTTTGCCTTGCCTCGTCGGTTCTCTCGGACACTGCGGCTTGTTCGGCCTCTTCGAGTGCCATGCTTACTTTGCTATTGTATTTAAATATTTAAATTGTTCCTCGTTCGACTTTCTCTTGAAAGTTGGAACGCCAGAGACAATATTAGAAAATTGACTCAATTGATTTGAAGAACTTTTAGAACTTATCTTTTCCATAATTGTCTCCATATCCCGCAGCATTGATGTTTTACGCTCTTGAAGAGACAATCTCAAACGTTCGTCGACAATCTCTTGAATATTTTCAATGTGATGTTCATCCATAGTGAAGTGTATTGGTTTCGTGCACGATGTTGCCACGTAGAAAATCTCGCTAGAACTGATTTCAACAATCAATACCCGCCAAATATAAACTCTTATTCACGAACCGTGACAAACCGGTTTTGTTATACAATGTCCGTAAGGACAATAGTACTCAACTATACGATGTAACGTTGAGTACTTAAAATTCTATGTGCGATTAATGACTACTTTTTCAGTATTTACA